CTCCGCTGGCCCGGGGACGCCGTCGCGCGCGTCGCCTCCGTGAGGAAGATCGCCGCGGCGCTCTGGAGGGTCCACCCGCCGCAGGCGCCGCCGCGGGAGGTGCCCGAGGAACCGCGGCGACGGCCGCAGGTAGGGATTTGTCTCCCAGATCAGCGTGGATCTTCTTCCCCCGTGGTCGCGTGCGTCTGTGCTGTGCTGCTGTGGCGTTCTAGGGTTTTGCTGTGGCCGTCCTCTGGTGGGATGCAACCGGCGACGAACTGGTTAGAATTTAGGTGGTTTCGTGCTCTGTGATCCTTTGTTTTCGTCCTTCTTCAGGAGGTCCAGCCTGGTATTTTCTCTACAGGTTTTGGGCTGTTTGTTCTGAAAGCTACTGTGTCTGCGCATCCAATGGGTGGAGGGAATTCGGCGAGATGGGTGCGAATTTTCTCACAATGTTGCTGTCTCAGCGCATTGTGTCTGCCAATTCGAGGGACGAAGGGACGGCAGAACATTTTTAGTTGGAGGTGGAATTTGACTATCTAGCATAAATGTTGCTTACTGACTTGGACTTCCAACCCACGATTCGCCCCATTTTGCTTACTGCGTCATAATGCGTAGCAAGCTGTGCATCTACTTCGCTGGGTAAATTTTGGTTTAGGGAGAGGTAGCAGGGTCCATGTTTCCGCGTCAATTTGGTACCACCATCATGTCAGGTTTTATGTTAGATTTGAGCATGTCCATGTCCTTTGTTGATCCAATTGCTGATCATTGCCGTCCTAGATTGCTTAGTGTTCGCTGTATCTCCATTAATCGGGCCCAGGGATGTCACATCTCCATGTTTCCATTATTATCTACCCTCTAATTAGGGTCCTTGTGGTCCCTATATATTGCTGTTAGTGTTATATATCTGCAATGCTGACCATCCAATGGTTGGCTTTGAACATTTTTTTCTCCATTTGACATGTAGATTTTGTAAGATGCTACTCCCCCTGTCCCAAAATAAGTGTTGCCTACTTAGTATAACTTTGTACTAAATCAGTGACACTTATTTTGGGACGGAGGGAGTATTAATATGTGGTTTTGAAGTGTTGGTGATGAGCTAAAAGAAATAATTTGCAGCCTAACCCGAAGCCTCTGCATACGCCGGATCGGTGCAATTACTACAAAGCTGTCCTGGAAGGCAGGTCAGGAAGAAAGCCTCTTGGCAACGGCAGCATTCATGAGGTATATTCCTTGTTCACGAATTATTACTTAGAGTACAGTTCACCATTTTCTTTTCTCATCTTGTTTTATTAATGAGAATGATTTTGATCCTAAATTAGGTGGGAGCTTACTCTCCATCACCTCGAATCGAAATGGAGGTGGCAACCAAGTGGGACCGGCGTGGCTTGAACACGTCAAGGGATGCTGACTGTGATTCCTTTGATCATTATCCAGTGAGTGCTGATGCAGAAATCTCTGCACTAAGAGCAGAGCTTATGCAGGCTCACAACCGGATTCATGAGCTTGAAGCTGAGAGTCGGTCTGCAAAGAAGAAGCTTGATCACATGTTAAGGAGCCTTTCTGAGGAAAAGGCTTCCTGGAAGAGCAGGGAGCATGATAAGGTTCGAGACATCTTCGATGGTGTTAAAGAGAGTCTGAACCGGGAGAGGAAGAACCGACAAAGGGCAGAAATTATGAATTCCAAGTTGGCCACTGAGGTATCCGAGTTGAAGTTGGTGGCAAAGCGATACTTGCAAGATTATGAAAAGGAGAGGAAGGCCAGGGAGCTTATGGAGGAGGTGTGTGATGAATTAGCAAAGGAGATTGCCGAAGACAAAGCTGAGGTTGAGGCTCTGAAGAGTGAATCTATGAAGATGAGAGATGAGCTGGAGGAAGAAAGGAAGATGCTGCAGATGGCGGAGGTTTGGCGCGAAGAGAGGGTTCAGATGAAGCTCGTTGATGCAAAGCTGACACTAGACAGCAAGTATTCACAGCTGAGCGACCTTCAGTCTGAGGTTGAGGCTTTCCTCAGTTCCCATGGAGGCAATACTGCAGATAAAGAGATGGTAAGAGATGCAGAAAGGCTAAGGGAAGCAATTTGCTCGATGAAGTTTCATGATATTAAGGAGTTCTCTTACAAACCGCCACCTGCTTCAGAGGATATTTTTGCTGTATTTGAGGAGCTCAGACAGAGGGAAGACACCGAGGAGAAGGAGATTGGGCAGTGTAACGGAGATATCCCCATCGGTCATGCAACAAATATCCACACAGTTAGTCCTGAAAATGACATCTTCCTGGAAAAACCATCGAAGAGGTATCCCCATCAACCCTGTGCCAGAAACGAAGAGGAAGATGACAGCGGATGGGAGACTGTCAGCCATGTCGATGAGCACGGCTCGAGCAACTCACCAGGTGGGAGTGAACCATCAGTGAACGGCTTCTGTGGAGGAGACGGCGCATCGGTGAGTGGAACGGACTGCGATGACAATTCTGAAAACTGCAGGTCCATTAGCGGTATCAGCGAAGTATGTTCGACCACAGCAGAGAAGTACCGGAAGAGAGGGCCTTCTTTCGCCAGACTCTGGAGATCATCAAACAACGACAATGGCCGCAAGAAAACAGGATCAGAGTTACTGAACGGGATGCTCTCAAGTGGCAGAATGTCGAACTCCGCTCTTTCGCCCACTCTGAAGGGCAGCGAGGTGTGCACGGTTTCGCCGAGCGTGGGCGAGTGGAGCCCGGAGCTGGTGAACCCTCACGTGGTCCGCGCGATGAAAGGTCGCATCGAATGGCCCCAGGGCGCGAAGAAGCAGAGCCTGAAGTCAAAGCCTCTGGATTCGAGATTCGACGGCCGCAAGGTCCAGCTGCGCCAAGCATTGAAGCAGAAGATATAGGATGGCCCGTCCACACGCTGTATCCAATTTCTGAATATAGGACCATCTTGCCTTGGAAGGGTGCCTGGTCTGTAAGAAGAAATGACTTGTAGTAACATTGGTCCCTGAAATGGGTGCCTATCATCGGCTGTACCTAATTGATGTTCTGATAGCCCTTTAGCTCGCATAGAATATTCACGACGCCCTTGTAATCAAATGTAGTATTAGTAGTGTCTTTCAATCAAATGCATTACTTAGGCATGTCTCTGGACACTTTTGACTGGTGGCTGCTTCTGTCTATTTCCTGTGCTTGTGATGATGTATGTATCTACTTCTATCGGTCGCGGAGTCTGGCAGTTTAAGACGGCTCTGCTCCAACGACTTGAGAAGGTGAGACGCAATCTCCATGGCTCCATGTATTTTGCATGCTCTATAGCGTATGTGGTGTTTCCTTCGTTAGTTTCGTTCATTTCAGTTCAGTTCGTTTCTAGTTGCTTGCTGTTTTGGATACTTTGCCTAGGAACTGGAGGTTGCTGTGACCAGACTGATCTGAGAGCTAATCTTCTACTGTAGAGGAGCAAAGCATTCATCGTGACGATCGTTCGCGTGTGCTCATCTGGATGCTGGAGCTATCCTATGTGGAAGTGTGACTCGTCATCTGCACCCTTGGGCTATGGAGTATTCGGTTTTGCTAAATCTCAGGCGCCTAATTTTTTTTGTGTGCCATCAGGATGCTGGAGCTATCCTATATGAAAGTGTGAAATTCATCATCAGCAACCTTGGACTATGGAGTATTCGATTCTTGTGTGCCGTCAGTCACTTTCCGGCTGGGGGACGGCGTAAGGAGCGCCGGCCACAGCTACGAGCAGGAGATGGCAATAGCGAGTCTGGAACTTAACTGGGGGTGAGGGGTAACCGGAAGGGACTGTGGGCGAGGAAAAAGATGAACAGGTGTAGGCGCACTCCTGACCGTTGGGTGTTGATCTGATGACCAGAAACAAAACTGGCGCGTATCGTTTTCTCATGAGAAAATTCTTTATTTGACACTACTTTAAAATGTGTTTCCCTATTTGACACTGGAAAACTTTTTCTTTCCTATTTAACATGGGGTCTAAATTTTATGCCTTTCATGACACTTTTGTCTATTTTTTCATCTAACATTGTTAAATTGCATGTAAAAAGACACTTTTGCCCTTCATATAATATGAACTGGTCATCTGGAATACGTGGATGAGCTGTCGACTACAGTACACGCCCCGTCCCTGTGGTCGAGCTCCTCGGCCGCACGTCCTGACAAGAGGCACCTGGGCAAAGCGTCGCGCACGTCTTTGCCAGACAGCAAGACACGGACCAAAATGGACTCAAGCGGATTCCACTCCATACACAAGGACCAACTCGTGGACTCGGTCAACACGCGTGCATGCAGGGTGCAAGTGCAATGGCACCGCGCTCCGCATGCCTCCGCCTACTCGACAGCCTTTCTATTTAGATTCGGTAGCAAGCTGTCCCACTTGTTGTACCGGTATGTATATGTCACTTCATAGATGTGATTAATACAAGCAAAGTTACACCATGCAACTCAGAGCACTTGTAGATGCAGAGCTAGCATAAGCGGTTGATTGATTTTTCTTGAAAGTTGGCTGACACAGCTACCAAACCGAGCCGGTTGGATACATACATACATACAATATTAACATTTATCAATTTTTTTATCACATATCATACGAGGGGCAAAAACGTCTTTTCAGATGTCATTTAACACAGTTAAGGCTTAAAATGGATAAAAGTGTCATAAAGGGCATAAAATTTAGACGCATTGTTAGATAGGGAAGAAATTTTTTTACAATGTTAAATAGGGCAAAAAGTTTTAAGACAGTGTTAAATAAGGAATTCTCTCTTTTCTCATGTACAATTGGTCTCTTCGGCACTGCATTTGGAGTTCAGTAGACAGTAGCTGACCTCCGTGACTTCGGAGAACTCGTGACTCTACTGCAGGTCCGTGACTGGGAAGTGTTTGTGGCCGGGGCGCCGGCCGAACCGTTGCGTCGGTCGCGCTCCGTGCGTTGGATCTCTTTTGATCCAAGGGACGTTGTCTGCGCCACGTGTCACCACAGACCCATGTTTTTTTAACTCGCACGGGTTATCCCTTCCTCAGTTTTTGCTGCAACCGCACAGGGTCGTCATTTCGGTGCGAGGAGGCAGGGCGACCGGCGGGCGACGGGCTTGTTGGCGCCGGCAGATCAGGAGCGGCGGCGGCGGCCCAGGGCGGATCTCGATTCTCCGGCGATCTATGGCTTCCCCGGATGGTAACTCTCCCCTCCCGCTCTCCCTTTTCGTTGTTGCCTCCCCCTCCCCCGTTGGCTTTAGGGTTAGGGCGGGTTATGATGCGGGCGAGTCGTTTGTGTTCCCGCG